GCCACAGACCCCTCCCTATACATTAAGTCCCTGCAGCACAGCTGTGAGCGAGGCATATTTGTGGAAAGAAAGACCCAAAGGCATTGCTGCTGACCCCCAGCCCAAGGAATGAACTGAAGGCACAGAGATCCGAGAAGAAGAGGTCTGAAAGAGAAGAAAAAGACCCTAAATTTTGGTCAGAGAAAAGAAGAGACCAGAGCTCCTCAAACTACGGTCCGCAGGCCACATGCAAATACAAATATTGTATTTGTTCCTGTTTTGTTTTTTTACTTCAAAATAAGATATGTGCAGTGTGCATAGGAATTTGTTCATAGTTTTTTTTTTAAACTATAGTCCGGCCCTCCAACGGTCTGAGGGACAGTGAACTGGCCCCTGTTTTAAAAGTTTGAGGACCCCTGGGCCAGTTGGTCCAGGTTTTGTGAGTTGGGAGAAGGGAATGTATTAGTAAGCACAGGCGGAGAGGCTGCCATTGGGCACCCCCAGAGGAAACACGCCAGGCCAGGCCCCCACCCTGGCAGAGGGAAGCTTGAGAGCTCCAGGGGCTCCTAGGGAATATCACTGCTAAAAACAAACAAACAAATAAAATAATACATAAAATAATAAATAATAAATACATAAAATTAAAATAAGCCATCCAAGGGAGGGCAGGAGCAGGGCTGAGGATGGATCAGAGGAACTGGCATGACATCCCATAGCCAGTCATGCCTGCCTGAGACGCCCTGTGGTTGGTGCCCATCTATAACCCAATCACGTTCTTGCCCTCTTGCAGCTAGTTGTCCGATAAGTTCTGAGAGCTTTCCTTGGATTTCTTAAAAAACCAGCTGGGATCCCCAGAGAAAAACCCATCACCCAGGCTACTGCCAGTCCACCCAGTTTCATCAGTGTCCTCTGCACACAGGCCATTTCTTTCCTTCCCAGAGGTCCCTGGTCTGGAAGATGTCGGTGCTATAGATGCCGTAGCGTTTGGCTGCTGACAGGAACTGCGACATCTGCTCCATCCACTTGAAGGCCACGGAGGAGGCCTGGATCTTCTTCACTGGGCCAGCCCCTCGGGGTACATACCGCCCGTTAATGCGCTCACACAGCACCGTGTGCCATCCCTGAGCCTATTCTGGATGTTCTCATGCCTGGGCTGGGGCCGGCCCACATCCTTGCCGCACTGGGCAGTGATCCACAGGATCAGGATCTGCTCCAGGTCTGCATGGTACTGCTTCGCAATCTTCTGCTGCACCTCCTGGCTCAGGCCACAGGCACGTGCCCTGTTGGCCATTCTGAAAGGTGGTGGTGGCTGTGGGTAGCGGTGGGCGGGCTGGAGAGCCCACACTCCAGGTGGGGTTGCGGGGCAAGTGTTTGTATTGCAAATTTATATCCATGTTTTCTGTCTCCCTTCTCAGCCCTTTGCTCTTCCTTTTATAAGCATTCCCTGAGTTATTTATTCTGTGCCATGTGGATGATTCCAAAATCTGTGTTTTTGGTCCAAACTTCTTTCCCTATCTCTAGTTCTAAATGCCCAAAGAGCTATGGGACATCTCTACATGAACATCCACCAGCACCTTCATCTCAATATTTTCAACGCTGATCTGACTTTTTTTTTCTTTTCTTTCTTTTTTTTTTTTTCTTCATTCCAACCTGTTCCTTTTCCTGTATTCCCAATCTCTGTTACTGGAACCACAACTCATCCAATGATCTAAACCAGAAACCTGAAAATCACCTTAGATTCCATTCCCCCCACACCCCCCCTCTCTCTCCCTCCCACATGCAATCGAGGACCATGCCTTGTGGTTTCTCCTACATATCCCTGGAACCTGTCCTCTCTTCTGCATCCATAAAGTAAGTCACTCCCTTATTTCAGGCCCCTGTCATCTCTCACCTAGACTACTGCATCAGTTTCTTAAAATCACTTCCCTAGCTCCAGGCTCTTTCCTTTCCAAGCACTCTCCACACACTGCCGCCATAATCTTCTGATGTTATTATTGTTAAAACCTTTCAAAGACTCTTCAATGTCCTAAAGTCAAACTCCTTAGGACAGTATCTGAACTTCACCAGATCTGGCTTGTGGGTTCCCTCCCAGCCTCATCTCCCACCACCCCTTAAAATTAAACCCCTTGGACTTCCTCTCAACGATGGACTTTTCTGTGTAATTCCTCCCGCCACTTCTTGTGTGCATCCTCATGTTTAATTCAACTTCCTTTCCTACAGATGTTATAAAAGAGGAAGTAAACAATATCTATATGGAAAGAAGCTATCAAAGGCTTTCAACAGTGCCACCTGTTGACCATACGAGACATTGCTCTTCCTTACGCATTGCTCTGTATTCTCACTTCCAACCTCCGTGTCTTTGTTTTTGCATTCCCATTGCCTGAAATGTCATCTCAATCCCATCTGCCTCAGAAATAACTAGTCATCCAACAGGAACTGCTCTACATATAATCTTTGTGGTGAACCAAGCATAGTAGAAGCTACTGCAATGGCACTGCCCCCCACACACACCATCATGTACATCTCCCATCATTACAATGAACAAGTCATTGTTTTCATCCATTGGTGTATCTTGTCTTCCTCACTCGACTGAACTCTATGAGAGTAGGGACCTCGCCTTTTCATCTTTCTTTTCGTGGGCACTGAATGGGTTTGCACAATGTCTAAGTTCTATAGATCTTCAATCTTTAGGACTTTTGTCAGTCACAAGGCCTGCCATGGATTTGTTTAATAAGATTATTAAGACAGTTGAGTAGAGGAAAGTGGGGTTGGGCAGAGATTTCCCAGTTGGTTGTGTTCCATAACTATACACATGGCTGGTGGCAAGGGGCTTGATCATGATAGGACAGTCTTATTGGGGTAGGGGAACAAAGCTCTCCACATCTTCCCCTTACTCATCCTGTAATTTCTTCATTCTTGTTTTCCCTTTCTCACCTCTTCTGCCTTCAAACTTCCTAATAATTTGGGAAGGCGTTCAACACTCATTCCACACAGTAATTATATCAACTTGAGAACCAAGGAAATCATTGACTAATCCTAAACCTCATGCTAGCCTGGAGGAGGTATGACACAGGATGGCCTGATCGGCATTTTACTTAGTTGTCTTATGAATGGGGTCCTGTCCTGTCCTCAAATATATGGTGGCATAAGGTGGGGAAGGTGGGGTGGGGAAAACAAGAGCAGAGTGAAGGAAAACGGAGGGCGTGAAGAACTAAGAGCCACTCGTGGTGCCCCTGAATGACTCAGATCTATTAATGAGTGGAAAGGTGTGAGTGATTTGCCTTATTTGGGGACTCAAAGCCTTGGAGCCCGCCCCATCCATAAAGAAAGTCCTAAAGTCAAACTCTTCAATGTCCTAAAGTCAAACTCCTTAGTACAGTATCTGAACTTCACCAGATCTGGCTTGTGGGTTCCCTCCCAGCCTCTTCTCCCACCACCTCTTAAAATTAAACCCCTTGGACTTCCTCTCAATGATGGAATTTTGTGTGGAATGAGTGTTGAACGCCTTCCCCTCAGGGACTCACCAGCATTGCTCATGTTGCCATGCTCTTCCTGCCACTGTGATTGGTAGGGGCAGAATTAGCCCCATTAACAGAACCCAGCTCTTTGAGAATGTACAGTGACACCTGTTCCACAGGGTTCCAGATTCTACCAGTCTTTATGTGACCCAATCTCCCGGATCCCCTTAAATGTCTCAGACTCTTCCCACTCTAAGGCCTTTAGTCCATACTATTTTGTGTGCACTGACAGGTTCCTTGTCACTATTGTCCAGTGATAGTTTTAAGTCCTAAGTTTAAGTTCTGCCTCTTTAACTTGACTTTATGTTTTGGGAAAGCAGGGATCTGCCGTTTCTAATGTATCTTTTGGATATAACATCCTTCTAGAAATTTAACAGGTAATCAATGTATATGTAATGACTTGTCTCTCATATAAGCTGGAAAATTCAACCTAAGATCCAAGTTTTGTTTCCCACCTCTTCCCCTCCTTCCCAGATAGTTTCCTCTGGTTGGCTGTGGGTTATCTCATTTTCCATTGGCTTTAAAAAGGGAGACAATAAACATTAGCTAAGTACCTTCCCTGAAGAAGAAATCAGACTAGGGGTTTATACTTTGTCCTCAATCAATTCTCAGCCCTGAAAAGCAAATTCTCAAACTGTCCATAAAACAATTTTGTGTGGCTCTTCCTTAGTCACCCTTCCTAGGGGGCAGGAACTCAATATTTTTCTCTGGAACCATTGGGCCATGAAATCCCATCTCTGGAACTGCAATGCCAAGTTAGGTGTCTAGGTACAGGAACTTACAAGACCTTAGAACGCCTGCCTGAACAACTCTAACAAATTCCCACTTATCCTTCAAAACCAAGATCAGAATTAAACTGACATTTCATCTATGCTACTGTACCAGACTCTTTGTTTACTACTTATTGCATGCCTATTTCTGACTAGAGGCCCGATGCATGAAATTGGTGCAAGAGTAGGCCTTCGCAGCCCCGGCTTCATCCAGAAGGTCGTCTGAACGGTTGTTCCGCTGTTTAGCCATTCGGTCGATTTGCATATTATGCTTTTATTATTACAGATTATTATAGATAAGCTAAAAAGAGCATTTTGGTGGTTTTTATAAGGTTGCTAAAAAGCAGCCATTTTAGCTCAAGGGATATTGACACTCTGTATTTTTGAGATACATAAATATCTATAAATCTATATATGTGTAGATATCTATATATATGTATCTGTTGTTTATAGATCTAAAAATATAATCTGTAGCTATTGATTAAATATTATGCTTATCATTTCACACATCTAACAGGAAACACACAGACCTTCATTATATTAATGGATTCTTAGATAACCCTTGCTTCTGTAATTTTCTTCCCTCTTTCATTTCTATTAAATGGATAGTTCAATACTAAATGGAGAGCAAATGCCTTAATGGGCACATGTAAAGATAGTGCCCTCTGGTGGATAGTGGTGAAGATGACACCTTTCTCTCCAAAACCGTATTTATTTTTTTGGTTTTGTTCTTCCCAAAATGTATCTTCAGTTGGTTTTACATTTCAAAGTTTAGGATTACTGTCAGAGTGCGCATACATATTGTGATGTAGGAATAAAGAAATGTCCTTATCATCTAAACAGGAAGCCTGCCCATTCCACCATTATCTCAGGCCCCATTAATAAACTTTGGTGGCTCTGTAGGCCCCTATTAATATTTATTATTTTACTTGAAAGATACACGTTGTGAGACATAATATTTCTAGGCATTAATTTACTACAAGAATGAGCTCATCCATATCTAATAGGACCTCAAAAGTCCTCGGAAATGCAACAGCTCTGTCAACTTGTAGCTTTGGTATCTCTTCAATGTTTACCTTTGTAGAGTGAAAATACCTCAAAATATTAATATGTGGGCTTTGCTTTTCTCTTCTTGTATACAATATCCCTTCATTAGTGAAAGCTATTGCCTCAAGATGAGGTCTGATTATAACAGCAAAAAAGTATCATTTTTTTTTAGGTTAAAAAACCCAAAATATGCTCTAAATATCAAAAAGAGGAGGCCTGAGTGAAGTGGGAAACAGAGTTTTGTATATCACTAGGAAAGGATATAGCAGATTTCCTACCACCCCAATTGCAGGTCACTAGAGGAGGTTCAACTAGGCTACAGGACGGGGGAGCTGCAAGGCTGGGCAAGGCTTGGAAAGATACCCAAGATTGTGGGGAGAAACCCAAGGAGATGGGACCAGAGGGGCCAACCAGGAACACAGCAGAACCTAAAGGGGAAATTGCTGAGCTCCACTGGTCACCTGGATCCAGAAGAAGCACAGCAGCTGAATGAAGGGCCAGAATTCCACAGGCCCAGAAGCCTGGAGAAATCTGGACTACCTGCTGGGGCGGGGCCAGGAGGGCTGGCCGGGGAATCCTCCATTAAAAGACAACAGGGAACCTTCATTGCTGGAGAATCCCAGGACGCTATCAGAAGTCCGAATGGGGACTGATGCTGCCATTTTAAAGCTGCAACCTCAGAACAATATTTGGTGGGTGGGTTTCCTTCACAGGGGAGGCTCTGCAGATGGCTGGGAACCTTAGGAATCCCTGACAGATGCTCCATCTCCTGGGCACAGCAGGGAGAGAAGCAGCATGGTGACACAGAGACACTGTCCCCCAAGTCCCTAATAATTTACCTCTACTCTTCAGAATTCCAACCCTTCTTCTTTGACACCCAGCTATGGCATTATGTGGCATAGCAAAATGACCAGCCACCTTAAGCCACTTTCTTTGAATTTTAGATTATCATCTATAAACCGATCTGACAGGGTAGCTGTAGGAGTAAAAAGAAAAGGATGTGAAATAAACAAGCCATTGAATTGTACTATACATGAAAACCAGGAAGGAGTGGGTCCAGGTGGGTCTACTACTTGGAAATTGATTGAGGTATGTACAGAGCAATGGACTGGTATACCCAGATAGAAGATCTTACAGAACACACTCAGGGAGAGAGAGACAGAAATTCTGGAAGCAGATGATCCCTTCTGAGCCTCACTCATGTAGGGTGTTACTCTGTTCTACTAGACCAGTGATGGCGAACCTATGACACGTGTGTCAGAGGTGACACGCGAACTCATTTTTTTGGTTGATTTTTCTTTGTTAAATGGCATTTAAATATATAAAATAAATATCAAAAATATAAGTCTCTGTTTTACTATGGTTGCAAATACCAAAAAATTTCTATATGTAACACGGACCCAGAGTTAAGTTAGAATTTTCCAAAATGCTGACACGCCGAGCTCAAAAGGTTCGCCATCACTGATCTAGACTCTGAGGACGACAATGCCCCACGGTGGGACCAGAGGGGCCAACCAGGAACACAGCAGTTCCCCCTTGCTTCTCCTCCCCCATAGGTCCAAACTCACTAAAATATATACATGAAGTATGGATGATTTTTTTTTGGTATATTAAGTATACCTCAATAAAGCTGAAAAAAAAAGATCTGACTTTCCTTTTGACAAGTTATAAAGTAATCAAAACAAAGAACTCAGTAACAGTTCTAATGGTTCTATATATTCAAAATGGCAGTTCTGACTCAGTATGAGTATTGAAGAGATCCATAAAGAGGACGGATGTGGAGGTGGTTATTATGAGAGGTAAACTATTATGATGTAATACAGTATGTGAATTATGATGATGTACTAAATATGACTAGCTGGTATTCTATGTGGTGGGTGAAGGGTATTTATTGAGACCCAAAGGCAAGATGTAGTATATTATTTTTCCATTCTCCTGGAGGGGAGTGGAGAGTGCAGAGAGGAGCAGGGTGAGCAACTGCCTTGGCTAGAGTTGAAGAGAGTGAGGAGAGGTAGGGGAAATACTCGGGGAGCTGGGAGTGAAGGTGATAGTCACATGCCTATCACCTTTCCTCTGCACACGGCTCAGCAAATGAGACTGAGAGAAGCCAGAAGGGCACAGGCGGGGCGCCTGCCCATCCTAGCAGAGTCTCCTGCATCAGGTGGAACCACTGAAGGAAGGGCACCTGGTCCTCCTCTCTGACAGCTCCACTTCCCTCAATTTCTCCACCAGGTGCTCCAGAAGGTGCAGGTGACAGGAACCATTCTAGGCCCGCCCAGGTTCAGACATCAACAAACGTAACAATACCACCAAAACGAGAAGCCGTAGATCCAGGTCATCAAAATGGCAAGGAAAGCCACGTGCCAGCAGAAGAAGGTGGTGACAAATATAATGTCGTTTTTGTCATCGTCCATCCACTTATGGCCCGAGATGGGTTTGTACAGCATAAAGCCTATCTGCATCAGCCAAGAGCCTAGAATCAGATACAAAAAGGCCTTCATCACCCAGAGCTGCAGCACGTTGGGAGCCCAGAATTCTGCAATGACCACGAGCGTCAGCAGGAAGATGACCTGGATGAGCAGCATGTGCGACTGCAGCTCCACGCCTTCGGAGTCCTGTATGTGAGACACCATCAGGGACAGAAGCAGAAACATGCCCAGGACCTGGGCACTTTGCTCCAGAGCAGCGCACCTCTGGGGCAGCAGGTTCTGGCTCACCACATCTACACACCCACTCAGGAAGAAGGTCACGTACAGAGTGAGATGCTGCCACTGCTTGCGGTACAAAAAGTTCCTCTGATGATATATCTTGCTGATGAATACAAACTGTCCAGGAATGCTATGCAGCTCTTGGGCCACTAAAATGCAGGCGCTCAGTATCTTCACCAAGCCGACATAGTATATTTGCTGCAGCCTGGCCCATCTGCCTTTGCTCCAGGGACAGCGTGGGAGATACTGAACGGGGCTGTTGCGTATCAAGGCCCTGAAAATGAGTCGTGCGTGATAAAGTCCGTAGAGGAAGAGGGACAGCCCTGGGTACAGATGACCCTCAAAGCCTCCCATGGAACTGAAGGCAGGTCTGACCAACTGCAGAGGCGAGAGGGTCGGCAAGGGCCTCCTCAGGCTCTAGGATGTGGAGAGAGCTTCCTGAAGCCGACTTATATCCTCTCTCCAGCTCACTGCATCCACGTTCAGAAGGGAAATGGTTTTGGAGGAGACCCAAAGTTATGGCGGGGTGGGTGTCATGGTTTCCGTCTGGTCTTCCGCTCTGGTTCATGGATAACTAACCAACCATTGCCAAATAGTGATATAAGCATGTTCTCCAGCACAATGCCTGGGCCTCTGCCCTTCTCAGAGACTGTGCGATGGGTCCCCCTTGCTTCTCCTCCCCCTTGTCCTTGATGCCAATGCTACCTTCCTTACTTCCCTCCAAATTCACAGAACGTAAGGAAGAACTCAGAGGAAGCACGGAGAACACACAACGTAGAGAACATCCCTTGGAGTCCTCACATAGAACCTCATACAAACACTAAGTACAACTGTATTTCCCTGGGTATAAATAGTCTTTAAGAGCCACAAGTAAACACACTTAGTGCCTGATTACTTGAGAACTGCCAGGAAAATGTTCACTCCTGAGAAGCCCAGATTAAACACTCTATCTGGGTGTACCTATGGGATTTGCTTTTGAATCAGTGGATTTATTAAAATAGCTTACCCGCATCAATATGGACGAGTTTCATCCAGTCTGTTGGGGGCCCACATAGAAGAAAAAGCAGAGGAAGAAGGAATTTGCCCCTTTTGCTTCCGGCCTGTCTACTGAGCTGGGACATAGGTCTTCTCCTGCCTTTGCACTGGGATTTGTACCACCAGCACCCCTGGTTCTCAGGTCTTTAGACTCAGACTGCAATGACACCAGCAGGTCTCTAGATAGAGACAGCAGATGGTGGGACTTCTCTGTCTCTGTAATCACACAAACCATCTCCTCATAATAGGTCTCCTTTACATAGATCTTTCGGTTCTATTTCTCTGCAGAACTCTGCTAATACAAACATGGAACCTCAAAAATATAACTCTAAGTGAAAGAAGAATGTCAAAGCTCAAAAACACACAAAACTGAACGATGTGAACACATATGTGAAACTATAAACAAAGTTCAGGCAAATGGTGACTCCCAAGAGGGGAAGGATAGGGTAGATTTAAGAGGGACACACAAGACATTGAAAATAATGACAATGCTTTCCTGTTCTTACAGTTGGCAGTGAGCACAGGAGTGTTGATTGTATCCCTATATGCATTCCATAACTGTTATTTTGTATCTATTGGATATTAAGTAGTTTTTTTAAGGAAATAAGAAGACAGTAGAAGTGCTGTGTGGGTGCGTGAGACCATGCCTAACAAGTCCACTGTAGGGTGAGAAAGTGGAAAAGCAGCTGTTTGCAAAGGGCCTCTTCATATGCCAAAATGAGTTTTCTTTCGGACGTCAATACTTGTACGTATCATTCTACAACTGGCTTTTTTTCAACTCAGTCATAGAATGTGTTGGAGATAGAACCATTTTGCTATAGAGAGGTGCTTCTCATTCCTTTTAATGTCATATTCTTTATCTAGTTCTTTACCAATGAACATGTTGGTCTGATTCTTTCAAACAAACAACGCTGAACAAATATTCTTCTTTAGGGTAGGTAACCACAATTGACATTTCTGAATCACAGACTATTCCCTTTTGGGGGGTTTTAATAGATAGTGATGAATCTCCCTTCAAAGTGGTGGTACCAATTTTTACTCACCCCCACATCCTCAACAAGTTCTTTGGATTCCCAAAACCCACCCACTATCCTCATCCAGGCATCACCAACTCTGCATTGTTGCAACATCTCTTAACCGGGCTCCAGTCCTCACCTGTTCGTATCCACATTGCAGTCAAAAGAGTTAATTATGCCACTGGCTAACTTAAATCCCCCAGTGGCATCACACTGCTTTATGGGTAAAAACCATGTCATCAGAATAAGCTTGAAGGCGCCTTTTGCTTTAGCCTGACCTCATTCCTAGTCCCTTCCCACCTGTACCATCTCCAGGAATATTGGAAGTTTTTCTGGAATGTTCTTCCTATTCCACATTCTTTCTTTACCTGGGAAACTCCTTTTCCCTTCAAGGCTCTGCTCGAGCACTGCCTCCTCCCAAATGGGAAAGATCCTCTCTGTGCAACGTATACACATCTCTATTGTTATACCTGACACACTGTTCCACCATTCTTTACTTACTGGGAAGTCTTTCAAGTTGGAGACCATATCCTGCATTCTTTGTCCCTTTAGAATCTAGCCCCATGCCGAGAGGTGTTCAATGAATGTTTGATAGATGAATGGATAAATTAATGAACTATCAAATGAGCACATGGTCTCTATCCAAAAATGTTTTATAATTAGTTATGAAGATGGAACAGATACATACAAATGATGCAAGGCCACTAATGCTCGGAGCTAAAGCTATATGAGTGGAACAAATGATCACAGCTATGCAGTTAGAGGAGAATTTTATCTCTGACTTCTTCGTCCTTGGACACAGGAGATGCAGAATGAAAGGATGTGGATGACTTGGCATAATTTTAACTTCTCAGCCACAGGCACAGACCCCTTTGCATAAATCAGTGTTTCTCAACCCTTTTCTAGCTTTTGTCCCCACTAAGAAACTTTTTCAGCATGTGTTCCCTTATCACCTTCCCTGCATGAAAACATTTTTTGACTTCATTGTTGACACTATTACAAATGTCCCCATGAAAATTTAATATCATAGCTATATTGTATATTTTATTTCCTATGGCCTCCTGGAACCATTGTAATACCTAAAATCACAATATTTTTACCCTGTTGGGGGCGATATTGCCCCCATTGAGGGCACTTGGTGTAAACCAAGGGCAGAGTGTGATCCCAGCAAAGAGCTTGGTGAGGATGCAGCACAGAGCTTATCTGCAAACATTGTTTATCTTTCGGCAATAGGCAGAGTGGATTCATTGGTACAGGTAGACTAGATGGCCTCAAAGATTCTACCAAGTTCTGCATGGGTGTCCCCCAGAGATCTCATGTGGGGAAGTCCTGGCATTTAATTAGGATCCTAATTTAATTAGGAATTTAATTTAATTAGGAAACTCATATTCAATTAGAGAGAATTGAGTGAAAATTGCTCTTCTCTTCTCGTTTCCAGCCAATAACAGGGGTGACAACTGTATCAGAAAAGGAATGGACACATCTCTGGTTTGGGGACTGATACCCAAAAATAGATGGAATGCAGATAAGAATACTCTGCTTGCACAAATATGGCAGAAGCAAGAGCTCCCCCTATTGCGCCGGAGGTATCACTGATGGGGTATCCACCTAGAATGTGGAGGGAGCAGATGCCAAACTCACTAGCTGATGTTTCATGACCTACAAGAAAGACCTCTACCTTAGGCGACCCTCTTGGTACTCCTGTGGACACTTGGCCACTCACTGGCTCACCACTAGGGGCGGGGCCTTGTGGGCACAAGTATGAACCTTGCCACTCATCATAATCACCTCAGGAGAGCTTTTTTAAAATACGGAGTACTAAGTTTTCACCCTGACCCTAATGAATAAAGTCTCTGCATCTGGAATCATACATGTCTCCCAGCCCTGGTGATTCCAATGTAGGCCAGCCATCCTTTAGCTGATGCTTGAAGCCACTGCACTAGACTAGGAAACACCACCCTGGTCCTTAGGCTGCACCTGGACACCATCCTCCTGCCCTCACCGACCCACAGATTCACCCAGGAGTGTGGGGAGACATCTTTACAAAAGCAGAACTCAGCAATATTTACCAAGAGAGGTTGGCATGCATGCGGAGAAAGGGGGCAGGGAGGGAGGAGGAGGCTAAGAGAGGGATGAATAGGGGAGGGAGAAGGTGGAGGGGAGAAGGAGAGATGAAGACTGAAAGAGAACATGGGAACTCAGCAGAAAGAAGGCAAAGAAAGTAAAGTCAGTCCAGCCCCTGAAATGGGAGAGGTAAGGAAAAGAGAAAGCAAAGGAGCCGGATAAGTTAAAAAAAAAATCCTCCTTGTCCAGGTCCCAGGAGACATTGTCCATCAGAGATTAAGAAAATGAAACGTTTGATCTGTGTTTGAGACCTAGTTTGCCTAGTTTGCTAGGCGGATGATTCATGAGGTGCTTATCTTCTCCAAGATTCATTCTCCTCATAGATAAACATGGAATTGTGGGATTCCATAAAATGTTGTATTTTAAAGCAGGTTATAAATATAAATTACTTTAAGTTGGTCATCTTAGGGCTGGATGAGACCATAGGGCCTATCTGAAACTAAAGTCCAGAGAGAAGTGACTCACAGGATGTCACATGGCTGGTGGCTTAGTTGGGACACTGAGAGTCACAAGCTGGCTGTCCACAAGAGGCACAAGAAAACCCCAGCTCAGTCAGCATAAGGCAGACATGTAAGTGGACCAAGGCTGTGAGCCCCCTTCTCAGCCAGCTCCCAGGCTGCCGGAGAGCCCAGCTTCCTGGCGGGTCCACTGACTAGCTCTCAGTCTGTCCCACTCTGCCCAATGCCTCAGTGGTACTGTCAAGAGAAGAAGCCCAATAAGAGGTCCGCAGAATTGGGGGACAAGGAGAGTCAGCATCAAACAAATGGAATACTTTCTGCAGAAGCATCCCCACCCTAAGAGATTCTAGGTGCCACACACACACCGCCTGGCATGAAAATGCCCACTGGCATGTGTCCTCAAGACTAGATGCTGCTAGAAAGAGCTGTGAGCGAACCAGTTATGTTGAAGCTGGGCTTCCTGGTGGAAGGATGTGTTGGCTGAAGGAGGAGTGGCTGGTCAACATGGAGTCTGGAAACACAGACTTTATCTGTCTTTATCCCAGCAGTTCTCAACCTGTGGGTCGCGACCCCTTTGGGGGTCGAACGACCCTTTCACAGGGGTCGCCTAAGACCATCCTGCATATCAGATATTTACATTACAATTCATAACAGTAGCAACATTACAGTTATGAAGTAGCAACGAAAATAATTTTATGGTTGTGTCACAACATGAGGAACT